TTATGCAAATCAAGCAAATACTTATTCGAGTTTATGACCAGTGGACTATCGTATCGACGATTTATCAACAGTCCGTACATGGACGGGCAAACGCAAACAAATTCCATCTTAACATTCCGAAGCTCGCTGTGTCGACACAAGATATTTTGTAAGTTTATCGTGCCAACTTTTTATCGGGTGGTTGTGGTACGGCACGCATTAAACTTACACGGGCAGCAGAGCGCTAATGTACAAAAAAGCAACAACAACAATAAAGAAACGTCCTGTGTTATAAATGTAATGAAAAAGTCGTTGGCAGTATGTAAACAACTACTATATGACAATGACGACAAGCAAGATAAGCGTGGAATGCCAATTTCGATTAGAAACGAGAGCAGTACGACTTTTATCGCCTACTTATGTAGATAAATTTAAAACATGCATATTTTCAAACCAATTTTCAGTATAACGACTAAGATAACATATTTTATTTTAATTCAATTTACAATTCGAATCAATTTTTAAAACATTTACGTTTAGTTTTAATTGTGTATTATTCTTTGGATTCGTAGCTTTATTTTGTAGTAGTTTTCGTTTCGTATTAATATTTTTCGTGATTCCAATCACGTAGGTATTAATTTTAATCTATACACAGAGTTTCGAAACACTTCCTAATTTATCAACATAATCATTTCACAAATAATGAATGATACATCAGAAATAATACTATACATTAAACGACGACTTATGATCTAAGCAGTGTTATATCAGAATAAATTTGACGACCAAAATCGAGCTTACCATATTATATCTTTCGTAAACCAGTATATTAATATTTACCACACGAATTATAAGCGAGACAGTAACGATTTGATAGTGAAAATCTATGGCGTGTTAACTTCGGTTATATAACGTATGACTATATACGTACATAATCAAATTTAAAAGCGTGTTAATATGAAAATACATCCGGCGAATGTTAGTAGCGTTTGACGATTGAGCGGAGCCGACACGCGTCTAGACTCCAGTCGTAGAAAATCACCAAGGACATATTTATTTGAGTGGAATGCGTAGAATAAACAATGTACGGTATTTCTCGTTCGTTCGCCGCCATTCGCCGCACCCTGCAATATCTCTGCGACGTTTGACCGAACCATAAAAACTAAACATTAAATACATTTCAGTAAACTTCATGATAATTCCACAAAGTACTCTGACTATGTTAATTAGGTATTTCACCATACTTTATATCTTACCAGAAATAAACTTAATTATTTTTTTATTGCATAAATGGGTGAACGAGCTCACAGCTCACCTGGTGTTAAGTGGTTACCGGAGCCCATAGACATCCACAACGTAAATTCCGCAACCCACCTTGAGATATGAGTTCTAAGGTCTCAGTATAGTTGCAACGGCTGCCCCACCCTTAAAACCGAAACGCATTACTGCTTCACGGCAGAAATCGTCAGGGTGGTGGTACCTACCCGTGCGGACTCACAAGAGGTCCTACAACCAGTAGAAAAAATATAAATACAAATATACTAAATAATCTATATACATATATGAAAATGAATTGCTGTTCGTTAGTCTCGCTAAAACTCGTGAATGGCTGAACCGATTTGGCTAATTTTGGTCTTGAATTATTTGTGGAAGTCCAGAGAAGGTTTAAAAGGTAGATAAATATGAAAATGGTCGAAATTAAATGAAAATAACAATTGCGTTTTCCCTTTGATGTGTCCCCCGTCGGACGGATTCCTTTTGTTTGTTTTAAGTTTATTTTATACAAAAGTTTAGGTATTTTATTTATCGATTGAGGCACTACGAAGTCTGCCGGGTCAGCTAGTAGTAAATACAAATGGTTATTTCAATACAACGTAATGATATACACACAATGAAACTAAGAAATAGACATGTATCTTTGCTTCTAATGAAAATGCTTGGCAGTAAAATGCCCAGCCCGGTTTATATATTACGTTACGCTTGGAAGACCCGAGGATTGTCTTAAGCGTGGGAAGTACACACTCCAGTTACACGATCTCGTGTATATACCAAATTACGACTTAATTGAAAATATTAATAATACCTACAACGATTTTAATGTGATCATTGCCCGTCTGTATCCCATTTTTATTCTATCAACCATCCAAATAAATGAGAAACCTGTATAATAGATATGATTTCGCGAAACTGGTCACACAAGAAAAATATACCATTTAATTTACTATCGAGACATCCATACGGCGATCGTAAATTACATTATTGCATTCCATTTGAATGTCCCCTTGTGGATCCCACATGTGCGTATCAACTACATGCAGATTTCACTCGTAATGTGGAATTATGAGCTATCAACAGAATGCAATGCGTCGGTATGTGAAGCTCTAGCTACGTACGTACCTAGCGAAACCGCATTCAACCGATACAATTAAGGTAATAAACACCGGCGAATGACGGTATTTAAGTCCCCACTCGCTCCTTAATGGACGCTATCATTGTCTTCCCTGTTCCCGCAATCAGTTTTTCCTACTCACAATACGTAGCCGTGAACCTTCTGTATAATCTAGTTTTTGCTGTTACGCCCCTCCTCATCTAGTTACAGCATACCTACGTGTCACACTTGTCTTGCCGTATCTGCGAAAACCGCAGAATACACATTCGCACGCAACTCGTTAATACGAAGGCGTTTGATGATTTTCGAACAGGGACGCGACGCTATAAAGATTTTTATCTCATTAAAACGGTCGCGTATTGAAAATTCAAGGGCGATTATTTCGTTATAAACGACAGTCGGCCCGACTCCGACGCGAGACTTACATGTGCCTGGAAATTGCTCGTTCTAGCGAGCCAACATTCTTGAGGTAGGTAGATAATTGCATTCCGACAAAAGTACGCGGGGCATTTAACTGCGTAACGGACGTGAGGGAGCATTTTTCATAGTATTACGTTTAAGTTGAACGTATAAGGTTAATAACGTCGTATGCGCAAGACTTGGCCGGTTTATTTTTAGAATTAATAAATTGGTTTAGTGGCTCGGTTTATTGTGTGCGCGTTTCGCACATGTATGCATGTAGACCGAGTGACATCCGCGGTGGCTTCGCTGAGCGCTCTGAATTCTAGGTCAATTTTGACTGTCGTTGCTCTTTTACCCATCCACTTAGCATTCTTTTTAAAACAATACGTTAAGTAGGTGGTGCCGTGTCGTTTCGTCTATTGAAGAGAATTGCTATAACATTCACGAAAACTGAGGCAAAATTCAGACAAAAAAAATCGATTATCGCGCAAATGCGACTCGGCGTTCAAATATGCGAATCTGATAAAATTCAATTACAAATAAACAAAAAAAAAAGAAAAAGAATTACGATATGCTAAGTTGGTTACCACGTCTCGAATGTCGTTCTGTAATGTAGACCGCGCGGAATGCAATTCGCCAAAACGTTCAATAAAAATGCAACTTTATGTTTCCTGTGTCCACAACGAATTTTATCGTGATGTCAATGTACCTCGGTATACCTACTTACATATAATATATGTCTAACCCTGATCCTCATTAATTTAAGCGTTCCTTTTCTATTGACATTACAACACAAATAAATATATTTTAATGCAGTACAACTATAGTAGACATTTGCAGGATAAAATTGATATTAGATACTCTTTAAGGTACCTCAAACACCTTATTTGTGCTGACAATGTAATGCAGTTTCTATCGTTTTTAACAATTAAAAAAATGTTTGTCTGTTATTATGAAAAGTGAATATAATTTTGTTCTATCAAAGCTTTGATGGTTTGACTAGGTGCACCCGCAGGTCCACCTGAGTTAAATTTCAATAAATAATATGAACAAACTTTCATTACTGGCTCACTTTACAATAGTCTGCATTTACTCTTAATTTGATTTCTCTGGCTTCTATTATTCTTGTCAGATCTTCTAATGTAGATTCAAATTTTAAGGCGAATAATATGCTTACATACCATCAAAAATTCAAACATCAAAGTCAGCGGTTACGTAGTTTTTGCGTAATTCACGAACAAATGAAAATCGTTTATTTAAGGTCAAGTCAAGACACCATAGAAATATCGTTTTTTTTTTGTATATGTATAGAAAAATCGATGTAAGCATGTCATTGTATCTATCGATAGATCGATGTAAGCATCGTCAAGAGCAATATTTTAAGACAATTTATTAATGTAACTCGTCAGGTATGTATGTATATTATACCCATAACAGCCACGAAGAATAGTAGCAGACATGATCGGTATTTAATAGGGATGTGTTGTGCAGCACCTGCACTTCGACGTCGTTGTGAAGGGGGTGTGGGGAAACGGCAGTGGGGTACGCGGGGGTATGCAGCTTTAGAAAGGCGCGACCATCGCCGCAGGCCCGGGCCGCATTCTACGGCCTGTCATTCACACCGCGCGACTTGCCTATGCATTGCATTCCATCTCCCACCGCGTACTCCACGCACTGCCCTCATAGGAACACACGCACACTACACCACTACCTGACACTCCTAGTTCTAACGAACCACTTTCGTTCGAATTATCATCAACAAAATATTTTGTTGTACCAACCGTTTAGCTAAATGTAAATAATGTTAATGTGGATTAGGCCAGTGGCCTAATTTAAGCGTTTTTGTTAAAAGTCTGTTCACATGTCCTCAGAATACAACAAAGAGTTAACAAAAATTCCAAAGGATAACAAATGATAACCATAATTTGTGTTAAACTCATTTGTTGTCACTGAATTGTGGAATGTCGTGTGAAATCGAGGTTATTGCGCATTCTCTTCACTAGAGCGCAGTAGCGTCGCGACGAGAATACAGTTTGTTTTTCATGATTTATTCTATTTTAGAGCTATTATTAACACTTCTAGCTTCTCTACCATTCAGTGCACCTTTCGGCCCTTTGATCAGTACTCTAAAATGTTTCATCCTAATGTAGAAAACATTATAAATCACATTGGAATGTAAAGTTTTGACATGGGGCTCTTACGGGTTAACACTTCTCTTTGGGAAACTTACCTGTCTCGCGGGTCGATCCACGTCGTTTTTCTGTTGTTATGATCGATGAAATAAAGTTTTCCGTCAAAGTCCCTTGCATAATCCCATCCGTCGGGCAAGGGCATCTCACCGTTTCGTCTCCTTGGCATATTTCACTGATTAAATCCATTCAAACGAGTAACGAAGCACACTCGCGAACTAGCTACACGGCCATGTTGAATACCTCATTACGAGGTGTGACGTCACGCGGGATCAGCCAATGGCGGCGAAGGGTCCCCACGATGGAATGCGGCGCGTACGCGAGAGCGAACACACGAAGCGGTTCCGTACGTCACTCGAACGACAATAACAACGCTAACGACCGCACCACGCGAGCCCGCGGCGCTGACTGAACCCCACCGCCGCGCCGCCACGTTATCACAGCGCATGATAATATTCACTACCAGAAGGTAACTCCTGGTGGTTAGATGCATTCCTTAACCACCTATTGTTTACATTACATGGTCTACTACCGTCTGATACAACGTACGCGACGCGGATACTGCAAAGCCAGCTCGCTGTATGCTAAAAGTACGTGTGTATTTGCAGTGTACCCATTGAATCTATTTACGATTCTACTGTATAAATATGTTTACTCGAGTATGTATGTATAGACTATATACAATGCATTCCGTACCGTAGATTTGAGATACTTACAATACACTGGTATCTACAAGTTTAAACATGATTTAAATACCTGCCTATTTTATAGGTGTAATANCAGCTCGCTGTATGCTAAAAGTACGTGTGTATTTGCAGTGTACCCATTGAATCTATTTACGATTCTACTGTATAAATATGTTTACTCGAGTATGTATGTATAGACTATATACAATGCATTCCGTACCGTAGATTTGAGATACTTACAATACACTGGTATCTACAAGTTTAAACATGATTTAAATACCTGCCTATTTTATAGGTGTAATACCAACATAAAAAACGTAAAATTCTGATTATGATGCATACATTAAAGCAAAATACATTTATTCTTAATAGCTTGACGATTGTCACGTAAAAAGGTTTCCAGTAAACAGGATAATGATGAAGGTCCACAGCTCATTACATTACCTACATAATTTTGTTCATCAAATTGACCGTGGAGATTGGAATAGAGACTCTGTTCAAGCCTAGAATCCTCAGAGCTGTGAAAATGTAGATTACGTTTTACTGTGGTTTTATTTTTTAATTTGATTTTATAGAACATTCAAGTTTTTATTTTTTATTTTAAAGCTACCCAGAAAATTTCGTTGAAAATGATGCTAATATTTTTTACACGTCGTGAAATTTTGAAATGTGTTGAATACATGCGTTTTTTTTTTGTTCCAATCGGCTTTTTTACTGTCACGCTATGAGAATTGCATGTGGAATGTAAAACTAATGGAATAATATCCAATTCTGTACCGTACTTATATAAAAATAATATGTATAAGTGTAGGTATCTTTGGCAGACGAGTAAGCCATGACGATTTATGGCGATGACCTCAACAACACTAAAACTGCCATACCTTGCTACCTCTGCTAAAACTAAAAACAGTGGTAAGTACGGATCCTCAAAAGTATAATAGTTTAATAATAATTATGAAAGCGGTAGTTACCGTACTTATGGACGCAGAGGGGCTGCACCTTCTTTTCTTTTTTTAGCACCCTTGTAGGCAGACGGGCATACAGCCTACCTGATGGTGAGTAGTTAGCGTCGCTCACATATTTCAGCAATTCCTGGGGCAGAGTCAAGTACTGCCTACCGTTAAGTACTTTCCATAAGTGTCGTTTGAATAATTCATGATATCAGAGGTAAGAATAGTATAATAAATGAATATGATTTTTTGATTATATAGATGGGTGTACGAGCTCATGGGTAACTTGGTATGAAGTGGTCACCAGAGCCCATAGACATTACCAACTTAAATCCCACCATCAACTTTGAGGCATGAGTNGAGTCAAGTACTGCCTACCGTTAAGTACTTTCCATAAGTGTCGTTTGAATAATTCATGATATCAGAGGTAAGAATAGTATAATAAATGAATATGATTTTTTGATTATATAGATGGGTGTACGAGCTCATGGGTAACTTGGTATGAAGTGGTCACCAGAGCCCATAGACATTACCAACTTAAATCCCACCATCAACTTTGAGGCATGAGTTCTAAATCTCAGTCTTTACAGTACAACGGCTGACCCACCCTTCAAACCGAAACGCATTACTGCTGTATGGCAGAAATAACATTCTCAAAATGCTATCAAACGTATAATAATAATTTTAAATTGTTTCGTTAAATAACGATCACTGATTTAATTGATCGATAATCTTTTTCCAATACAATGAAAACTATTTGCTCGTTCTATGTATGTTGGGAGTTTTAGAAATGATGATCATTTTTTTAGAACCAGAATTAGAATATTTTTTTTAGATACCATGCTACAAATACTGAAGTTACGACCAAACCCTACGATTCCTTGAGATGGAGAGGATTTCAAAGCGGTTCCTAATACTCAATAGACAGCCTATGTTTGGAAAATAAGCTTATAAAGTTTACGTATTAATTTCTTTCGCCTTAAAACGTCATTACCATAGACCTATATAGTAGGGACACGAAATATTGTTCTATACGTACATATGCTTTTATAAATAGCACCCATTTTGAAGGCATACACATAAACATATATCTATCTCGTTCTTACTCAGCACTTTAACTCGCAGGAAAATAATATAGCAGTATTTCAGTGCGTACAGAAAATGAAACATGAATATACGTAAATGTCTAATGAGGCCGAAAATCCGCCATGCTTAGCGCACCAAATGTCATTGTCACGTCAGTTCGGCGTCTGTTTTGGGTTGTACATTATTTATTGACTTTGATATCGATTTAATATGATTACCTATATAAATTTTCTTATTTTATCATGCTTAAAACATACAAAAATAATAATTAAAACATATTTTATATAGGATCTCAAGAAAGTCGATGTCCCAAAACTATTATCTATATATATTTAAATTCATTATGAAGCCCTCATCCGAAAAATCGGACACCATTTTTCGGTCGGAATCTATTGATCATGACACTAATCATAAATACCTCTTAATAAAATATGTCATCAAAACCTATTTAGACATTCTGTATAGATATTTCGGGGAAAAGGCAAAGGGAAAACCATTTGAATCACTCTCACTTGAGAGTGATTCAAATGGTGCGGCGCACCTTCCTTGAGGTGCGCTGCAGTAGTGTGTTACGGACTTTAGAGTCAGCAAAACAATTAAAATAGATTGTAATAGTCTAAAAAAAACACGTACTCAAAATACGATAACATTTAGCATGCTAGAAATGGGCAGATGGCACTGTACTACGCAATATCTTTATGTTTTGCGGCAAACGACAACTTTATAAAATCAGTGTAGCAAATTTAAAAAATCGTCATATCGTTTACTTGGCAAATTTGAAGCACGAACTCGTCTTAGATTTCACATAATATCTAAATCACATCATCTTTGCACATAACAATATACTTACTTCCTATTAAATTATAAATTCTACAAATAATTCATACTCAACAATATTTCAAATAAAATGAGCCAAGAACGTTTATCGATAAAACCTACTAACATTAAAATCTTCTGGCCAGCACTAAAACCGCCATGTTTTGTAGCCAGATAACGTCACAGTGGCACGAATTTTTGTTGACGTTTCATATCCATAGGTTTCCTACTTCAGTGGTCATTACGGATCCTCCCGATCCATTAACGGGGCTTTTAGGTACCACAAGTATCGGTCACGGTCCTCGTCGCACCCGTCGCTTGCGACGAAGGGCTCGACGAGCGAATTAACCCATAGACACAGCCCATTAAGTTTCTCGCCGGATCTTCTCAGTGCGTCGCGTTTCGGATCCGGTGGTAGATTCTGCAAAGCACTAATCTTGCCAGGGCCAGTGTTAGCAACACTCCGGTTTGAGCCCCCGTGAGCTCACCTACACGTTAGGGTGAAGCTGAAATAACCTCTCAAGGCTAGCAGCACAGGAAGGAACTTTCATACGAACCTATTATGTTTTCTTTGCCTGTTCTATGTCTTTACCAAAGAATAAATCAAAAGTCAATGTCAAGTGTTGGCAATTTCATCATAACACGCAAAAATAAGTAGGAACCAATTTTTTTTTTCAATGGAATAAAGGATATTTTCCTTAGTTAGTAGTTATTATTGGCTTATGTATTATTAAAAAGTAATTCCTTCGAAATGGCTACAAGTGATAGTGAAGATTTTGAAAGTGCCGACGAGGGACAAAATACACCTATAAAAAAGGATACAAAAGAGCGATTATCGTCCTCTAATTATACCGAAAATAGTCGGGAATTGGACCACAAAACAAAAAAAACACAATCTTCATCTACCGACACTGTGAAAAACAAAGAGGAACCTGTAAGTCATGCCTTCCTTCATGCTCATTTTTAAAGTTTTCCAGGAACATACAATACTGTCTATATCGCTTTTTATGTATACATCGGAACATAAGGTGTCTTTTAAGTAAAATTAAAGTTGGGGTCCCACTAGTTTTGTTTCAATATAATTCATGTTGAGCTTTATTTTGGAAATTTTATTTTTAAGTCAACAGCTGTTATTCAAATTTACTATAGAAAATTTTGCGTGTAATCTATATTCCGTTACGCTATCTATTTTGTCAACTTTACTGTGTATAATCTAACAGTATCCATTAAATTATCATCCAAAAACTATATACTAACAAAGTCATGGTAAATGAGATTATAAAGAAATATTTTTTTTGGGAGAACTAATCATAAATGCATATTCCGTGTATATCACGGTCATCATCATCATTTAAGTATGGTTTTTTTAAGTAAGTTTAAAAAAAGGAGTGTCATTTGTAATTTCAATTTAGTGAAAGTTCAGTACGATAAATCAGTACAACTTATAATGGCATTTGTTAATTCGGCAAAATTATATGACAACATGAATACATTATTCTAATGATATGTGCATTTCAAATTACAATACGTATAATGTATACAAAAAATTTCAATTTGTTTTTAACTTTTGTAGTGATCCACATTGAGAACTCTATTTTATAATGACTCGTTAAGTTAACTTTTAGTTTAATGAATTTAAATATTAAGGTACTTTTGAAAGTCCTATGGCTTTAACCCAAACACATCTCTCCATTCCAATCCCCTGGTGTAAATGTATTATATCGAAATTTTAATGAGTCGTAGTCTAGTCTTGACTAATTTCTTATACGAGAGAAATTCTAGTTACCCAAGAACAGCCTTTAACACTTTCCCGTCCGCACTTCTCCTAAACATTTATTTTCTGACAACGGCAGTACTAATCTGGATTACTTGGTTTGTCGCCGGCCGTTCCTGATTCTGGGAAATTATAAATCGTTAATTTTTATTAATTTCATGATTAGTTCTCATAAATTCTTAGCCCCGTTGCCCTACTTTCATGAAACTTCGATATGTTCATGACACCACAATGGTGAGGCTGGCAGTTGACCGCTACTTTACCCACGACACCACCGGAATTGCCGGACTGCAAAGTTTTAATAGATTTCAATTACAGAAATCTTCTGACGGTTGGGATGATTTTGATATTGATGATGATGAAATATTGGTAGCACAAAACGCAGTACCCTCTAACACTCATGTACTGCAGTCCAATAAAAATGAAACAATAGACTCGAATTACTCACAAGACAAGACAACAGAGAAATTTGAAGAAACAAAGAGTAAAGATACCGGTTGGGATGATTTTGATGATTGGGGACAAGATGATAATACGATTGAGGTAATAACTACTATTTATTATAAATTATTAGTGACTGCTAATGCCCATGCTTTTAATATATCCATAGAAGATATACAAACAGTGGAGTGATAAATGAAAAATATATCATTTTGAAACTAAGCTAGTGAAATCAACTAGTTAAAGTTTCAAAGTCAGGATTTCTGTTTTAATTCCAATGAGGACACTGAATTTTACTGGAATATATCATCATACACTGCTGCCTCAAATAAAAATGTATTCAAATAAATTATTTTATGAATTCAATCGAATGACATACAATTTTTATGCCTAATTGGATTTTTTAGTCCAACAAAACATCTGATATCAACAAGTCAACCCTTAATAATTTATTCATACAAAAACATTTAATATCTAGTTTGATATAAACGCTAGTTTTCAAAATTGCGCTTAATTTTCAATGATAATATGTAATTTAATTAAAAGTATAAGTTTATATAACTTGGCACTTGACTGTACACTTGGCATTGCCGATGCATAATTGTAATGTTCACCACTTTCAGGAGGGCTGTGTTTGCCTCCTTTGCAAATAAATAGCATTAATAACTAAATTTTGTGTTTCAGGATCCCTATAAACCAATTCAGACTCAGCCAACACGACAGGAAACAAAATCAATATATCCTGATATTCAAGAGGTTACAGAAAAGCTTGCCAACACCACGACAACCAGCACTACCGGGGGTTGGGGTTGGGGATGGAGTGTAGACTCCATATTGACTACGGCAACTGCTGGTATCAGTACACTTACCAATCAAGTGTCTCAGGTATATTTTTTTCTGTAAATATAAAACAGTGTTGCTATTAGTTCAATGTACCTCTTAGCAAAGGTTCACATTGGCAACTATTTTAAGCAACTCCAGTTAATTTTGAAATCAAATAACATTCAAACTGATAATTTAAAGTAAAAAAAGCTCAATTTTGGATGGATCTGATTCATTTAATCTGGTTAATTTTGAGTAGCTTAAGCTCTAGAGATACCATAAGAAATAAACTGCCTTTAAAAACAATTATTTTGGTAATTCAGATCCGAATTTTAGTTGAGAATAGTCTTCATGAAGACTCGCAGACGTGGTGACCTATGATCACGATATCATATGACCTATTTTTAAAGAGTTTTCGTAGGAAGGGCAGATGCGGTGTAAGTAGTCTACAGGCTGAAGTATGACACTCATGAAATTATTAAATGAATCAAATACTCTGTGGGTTCATGATTGTACATACATAATATATGTAAGTTCAACCAGATTAAAATTACCGCTAGTGGCGAAAGTCAATACGAAAAATCCTAATTTAAACACGAAATCATATTAGGTATCAGGCAGAGGAACCGGTAAAATCGTTAAAAAAAGTTTATTCTATAGAATGTAGGTATCTAATGCTGAATCTCATGTTTCAGGGTATCTCAACGGTTTTAGAAACCAGTATCGGGGCACCAGACCCTGAAGAGTTAGCGAGACAAACTGCCAAAGAAAGAGAAGCAAAGGCAAATAGTCCTGATGGTTTAGAAAGTAATATAAATACGAATAATGACAAAATCGAACCAAAAGGCACGAGTGATGCTTTTCCATTTAGAGGTCTTATCTCAGAAGTGACTAAATTTGTTGAAACTACCGGTAAGTTTTTATTACTATCAATAGGAAGATGATCTCACTACCCACTTACGTGACAAAAGCCCATAAATATCATAAAGTGAAAACATTTTCACAATTAATTTCACAATTACTACAATATCACAATTATTTTCACTCAGACATGATGATAGCCAAGTGTGTGAACTCACGAAACTAAAATACGGCTAGGAGTACTACAGAAATCAAAATGAAAAGTAGGAAAATAAGATAAAGACTGCTCCGATCAACTGACCAATCCATATTTATACATGGTAATTAAGGCTGGCAAAGCCACGGGTAAACATTTGTTAATTATATATAATATACATATAATTTAATTTTTCGTATATGTAATTTTTCAGGCACTAAAGTCATATCGGGTGGCCTAGGCACTCTGGAGACGATTGGTAAGAAAACAATGGAAGTTCTTCAAGATGGAGATCCTGGGTTGGCAAAGAAACGAGCACTACTCGGCTTAGCTCCTGACGAGAAACCGGTGCTGTCACAAATACTGAGAGAAGCGAAAGCTAAAGCTGACGAGGATGACAGAATAAGAGAAGAAAAGAAGGAAGCTAAAGAAGTACACTATGAGAATTTGTTTGACGATTTTGAAGGTTATATTAATTTCGAAGTATATTTACCGTCAGTAGTTAGGTCGAGAAAATAGACATCTTATAATACTTCTATAGTTACTGATTGGCTATTAGACCACGTGAATCAGCATGAGATCCTAGCCAGAATTAGTCAGTCAGTGTCTTTATTAGTTATACGGCACGCATAATCCTAATTTTAAATGAGATATTTAAAATTATTAGGTTTTGTTCAGTTTCATTCAAGTTTTTGATAATTTCCAGGTCTAGTTCACTTGGAAGCCTTGGAGATGCTATCCCGGCAAGTGAACATGAGAATAGAAGAACGGATGCGAGGGCTCTCGCCCGAAAAACGACAAGATCTTAAGGAAACTTTGCAGCAGGTTGCCGGTACGTTAGAATTATCTTCGCCCTACGTTCTCTCTTCACCCTTTCACTATTTATTTACTTGATATCTGATCTAATATTGGATAGATTATGGAAAAAACGTCGTATCAGATTTAGAGTCAGTTGCAACAAACAACTATGGTAAGCTTAGACCACTTTTGCGCTGACGGCCTCATATATAAGTAAAAGCAGGCCTCGTGTTGTTTGTCCGCGATAAACTTATGAACCAATGAACCGATTTTAATGAAACTACGCATACAGTGTGTGTTTTGGTCCGGCTTGAGAGATGGATTAGCTTAATATAAGACAAAGTGTTACTTGTGAGCTCTATGAGTCTTTAAGAGATGGCGCTGTATTGAAAATTGTAACGATTGAGTTAAGCTACAATTTTGATATATATTTAAAATAAAGGTCAAATTTTGTTCTCTATGCATTCTTGGTATAGTTGGTTCAGTTTTGTTTGGCGATCCAAGGAAGGATTGTGTATTAGTACTATTAATGGAAAATGGATGGCGCGTGAATTAAAAAAAAATCTAGGCATATTTGTTATAGCCATAGTCACAGCGAATTGTTACCCGCGATTACTATAAATTAATGTATTAAAAACATAATGTAGTTTGATCAGAATAGTCCGTGTTCTGAAAGACACCCACCCGCACAATGAAGATCTTTGAATAACTGACAGAAACCAGGATGGTTTCCCAAAATACTGATATTAGTTGTATTATTTATGTTGCTTCCAGAGTTATGTGAGATGCCCGAAGACGACGAAGACGATAATGACCCATCAGAAGACACGTTCAAGTCTGAGGCTTTCCACGAGAGACTTCAGACCGCGACTCAAGATCTCGGGCTGAAGTTACAATTTCAGCCCATCGTCAAGTACGTACTATGTACACGGTGTTCGGAAACCGAAAACTAATAATGAATCCTAGGAATATCCATCTGCAGTCTAAAGCCAAGTTAAGGGGTTGAGCTCCGACTTCAATTTGTTTTTTTCAATATAATGACATATCGTTCTTCAAACGAGGCTTGTGGAGAATATTAAGCGGTAGGCAGCGGCTTGGCTCTGCCCCTGGCATTGCTGAAGTCCATGGGCGACGGTAACCACTCACCATCAGGTGGGCCGTATGCTCGTCTGCCTACAAGGATAATAAAGATTCTGCTTATTTCTGCCGTGAAGCAGTAATGCGTTTCGGTTTGAAGGGTGGGGCAGCCGTTGTAACTATAATGAGATCTTAGAACTTATATCTCAAGGTGGGTGGCGCATTTACGTTGTAGATGTCCATGGGCTCCAGTAACCACTTTACACCAGGTGGGCTGTGAGCTCGTCCACCGAACTAAGCAATAAAAAAATTAAAAAAAAATAAAAAAATCACACAACTTCACTCGTCGCGTTCCCGCCAAAAAGTCCGTGTTTACTATCATGCTATGCCTGTTACAGACAGTACACAGAAGCGATAGACTGGTTGTCGTCGGGCGGCGAGCTCACAGAGAAGCAAGTGTACAAGCGCGCGGTCGCGAGCCTGGCGCAGGCGACGGCGCTGTCGGTGGAACTGTACCACAAGGCCGGCGAGATGCTGCTGGTGAAGCCGCGTCGCTCCACGGCAGACGAAGCTGACGCCCTCACTCAGTACGAAGAAACGTTTACATCAACTTCGATCTGTGTGCTTAGTGCGAGTTTTTTAACGTTCTCGATAGCGTAAAATTTAACTCAAATTCGTATGCAGTTGGAACAGCGCCCCTAACGGCAAACGTTCCAACACTATACAAATTTGCATTAACTTCAAAGTCGTCGTGGCCTAACGGATAAGACGTCCGGTGCATTCGTGTTGAGCGATGCACCGGTGTTCGAATCTCAGGCGGGTACCGATTTTTCTAATGAAATACGTACTCAACAAATGTTCACGATTGACTTCCACGGTGAAGGAATAACATCGTGTAATAAAAATGGAACCCGCAAAATTATAATTTGCGTAATTACTGGTGGTAGGACCTCTTGTGAGTCCGCGCGGATGGGTACCACCGCCCTGCCTATTTCTGCCGTGAAGCAGTAATGCGTTTCGGATTGAAGGGTGGGGCAGCCGTTGTAACCATACTGAGACCTTAGACCTTATATCTCAAAGTGGGTGGCGCATTTACGTTGTGGATGTCTATGGGCTCCAGTAACCACCTAATAAAAGGTGGGCTGTGAGCTCGTCCACCCATATAAGCAATAAAAAATAAAAAAAACGATATCCAGAAGGTTCAAAAAATCGGACTTACTGGTGCTATCAATGAAATAACATTCGCTCATTGTTTTTTTTTAGTGCTTAGATGGATGGACTAGCTCACGGCCATCTGGTGTTAAGTTACCAGAGCCCATATACGTCTAGAACGTGGATGCCGCCACCCACATTAAGACATGACTTCTAAGGTCTCAGTTTTTACAGTACAACGGTTGCCCCACCGTTCAAACCAAACTTTAATAATTCTCGCATTAAAACTGTATAATCTCAAAACTTACTAATTTTACAGGAGAGTGTTTTAAAGGTTTAACATGTGATATTTTTAATATTAATCATATTGGCAACATTTATTTTTTACCAGTTAAATTATCTGTCTTTTAAAGTAAGATAAAATTATGTATTAATTTTGTTAATAGTAGTCAAAACATAGGTAAACTAAAACTAAACTGCGCTCTTTTGACAGCATTTATGAGAAAAATACTGGTGATACTAAATTATTCCGCATATTAACTCAATTTCGAATATTTTTGAAAATTGTACACTTTTAATGCGAAAAGACGATATGTTGTTTATACGATTGTATGACATAGCAATTAGTGAGGTGAATTAGCACAAGTGAATGAATAACAATAGACTTTATGAAAACGGAATAGTATGAGGGGAAGAACTGTCTTTACCGTCAGCCCTAATAGTGACGTCATAATCCGCAACGTTTTCAAAGCAAACGAAACAACACAATTAGGGCTTTCGGACGAAGCAATAAGATTCAATTTCCACGTTTCAGGATGACCGCGGTACTGACCAAACACGTCAGTGAGTTGGCGACTCTCTTCACCGAGAAATTGAATGAATTGCAAACAGAGAATACGGAGCAAATACATAATTACATCACGAATATATTTTTAGAGGTAATTGCATCAATTTTGCTTACAATAAATTCCACAAAAAAAATAAAAATATTTATGTTACTTATTACAATGGATAGGCTGTTAGAGCCTTGCTAAAGACAAATAATGAAGAAAAAAGAACAGACAAAAAAAGAAAATTTTCAAATTAACTTCGTATATCATTGTTGTGAAGTATGTCACTAGCACTGTAGATTTGCAAGTGAGACCACGTGTGTGAGTGAGTGCTTAAAACCTCATAGACATCACAATGTGACTGACTCGGTGGTGCAATAGTTAACTCCCCTGACTGTAGCGCCGAAGGTCGTGGGTTCGATTCCCACATCGGACAAACATTCGTGTGATGAACAGATTAGTTTGCTCTTTATGTTTTTATTTATTTAAACGTCTATATAATATATGTAACCTCTATATGATTTATGACATAAATCTTAAAAGAGGTTAATATGTTATACAGGTGACATAAATGTTATTTTGAATATTAAAACATTAGAAAAAGGAACATTAAAAATTATTTAAAAATCTTTTTTGAATATTGAAATATAAAAACTGGTGAAGCAATAGCTTTAAGTGTTGTTTCTCTTTATAGAGCAACTCAGTTTGTGCTATAGTTTTACTGGGCTAAACTTTATTTTGATGTGAATAAAACAATACATTATATGTATGTATGTAGGTCAGTCTTTGGTACCCCTAATACAGGGAATCGTAATTTGGAGCCGGATGAGGGAATTATTATTATTATTATTATATGAGCCTACCGCCTTTCTTAAAACAGAAGGTCGATATTTCAGTTCCACTAACAGATACCCTTCGACTTAACTACACACTACACTGAGACGAACTAACTGACTTCAGTGTGCTTAGTGCGAGTTTTTTAACGTTCACGATAGCGTAAAAGTTAACCCGATTTTGTATGCAGTTGAAACAGCGCCCCTAACGGCAGCTAACCTTATGGTAGGCAGCCGCTTGGCTCTGCCCCTGGCATTGCTGACGTCCATGAGCGACGGTGACCACTTACCATCAGGTGGGCCGTATGCTCGTCTGCCTACAATGGCAATAAAAAAAAAACTTAGACTAACGTTCCAACTCCATACAAATTTGCGTTAACAGCGCCCCTAGCGGCAAACGATCCCATTCCATACAAATATGATCTAACTTTTACGTTATCGAGAACATTAAAAAACTCGCACTAAGCACACTGTACTATTTTTTAAAACCGAAACATATTGTTGTACGAAAAAAATTGATGTGTAAAAATTTTCCATTTGCACATTTATACAGACATCTCATAAGTTATTATATAGAAAAACTGTTTATTTTTTCCAGGCTGGCAACAGTTCGACTTACATCCAAAACGCATTCCAATTAGCACTGCCTATATTACAAATAGGTGCCGTGTAAAAACAGACTGTATCTTATAAAGAAGGTGTAATGGATTCATACCCGAAAAAGAATATAATTGGTATACCGATGTTCTTGTATCTAATTTGTTATCGGAGCTTTATAAGCTCGTTATAAGAAGATTATCATAGAGGGTTATTAATATTTTTTATTAATTTTTTTATTGAAGATTTGTAAAGAATTTTACTGTTCGTAAAATACGATCTTGTACTTTTTTTAAACCGACAGGATTTCGATAACAGATTCATAAAGCTCCGGTAACTAATAGAAAAAAGGCTACTAAAGAATACATTCAATAACAAATGTTTACAAATGTTAATTTGTAAAGCACGCAATGTATCACAAAAAAGGAAATAACTCGTGAGGTCAACGCCCTAGCGAGGGAACACGAAGCTATATGTCGATTGCCCTCTCGTTTTATTGCCAATATCTTTGGCTAGTTTAGTAAATTGATATTGTTTTCTGTTTACTTAAAGCTTGTAGTTTCAATTAAGGGACACAATAACATTTATTCTTAACAATTTGGTCCTTCTTTAGAGAAAATCACAATAATCTTAATATAATCTAACCTTATTAAAGTTTTAGTATCTTAAACGGGCGCTTAAAGTAATAATCGATAGATGACGTTATTGGTTGTATGTATCGCTAAATGATTATGTTATGTTTTACTGGTGGTAGGACCGCGTGTGAGTCCGCGCGGGTAGGTACCACCGCCCTGCCTATTTCTGCCGTGAAGCAGTGATGCGTTTCGGTTTGAAGGGTGGGGCAGCCGTTGTAACTATACTGAGATCTTAGAACTTATATCTCAAGGTGGGTGGCGCATTTACATTGTAGATGTCCATGGGCTCCAGTAACCACTTGACACCAGGTGGGCTGTGAGCTCGTCCACCCATCTAGGCAATAAAAAAAAATGTTAATACAAAAATACATTTCCAATCTACTAATAAAGTCTGTGGTAATTAAGAGAAGGCATGATGAAGGCAGAATATATGTTCAACTCTTGGCCTAAATGGGAGGTAATCGCTTCACACATGCAAGTTGCATTGCATGATGCAACATCGGGTTTTATTTTCAACGTTAAAGTACGTAAAATGCGTAATCTCGGAAGATTTAATTTTCTGAAGTAATTTGCTAGAATATAAATAATAGGTAATTAATTTCAAAGTCATCCAAAAGTTTCGTAACCGGTTTTTAATTGTGCTAATGCAATAATTCAGCTGATTTACTCGTAAGTAAATTCCCATTTCATATTTCCTGCTATGTATATATAGTCGGGAAAATGATTTGTACTATGTACTTGGCACTATGTAAATGTGTACCTACATTTTTAATATTTCACGATTAACTGAGTATGTGAATGTTTAATATTTTTTATTGCCAGTTCAAATTTTATATTAAATAAAAAGCTGTTTGTGATATATTTGTGTTTTATTAACCTTTTTGAAGTGCTGAGCTTTTTCACATACTATTTTGCAGAGCTAAAGGATTTTTGGAAAAAAAAAAAAACTTTATAAAACTTAAAAAAAAATACAAAGAGAATGTTAAATTCACAGCAAAATAATTTTAAATTGTTATTTATATATTTGTTTACATTTTAAAAACGTGTTACCTAATACATATAATCAAACTCCGCAATAGTCGATATTTCGACGCTCCGCACTTTATACGCATTAATAGAGAGTCGATCTATCGACGTTTCGCGCTCAATGGGTTAACTACAGTATTCTCTTAGGTTTTCGCGAGTTGTAGTCATAAGACATAATGATATATTATATCCGACGTGTCGAATGTGTACTTTCTAGTTTTTGCGGATGCGGTCAACACTGGTTACTGGTGGTAGGACCTCTTGTGAGTCCGCGCGTGTAGGTATCACCACCCTACCTATTTCTGCCGTGAATGCGTTTCGGTTTGAAGGGTGGGGTAGCCGCTGTAACTACACTTGAGACCTTAGAACTTATATCTCAAGGTGGGTGGTGCATCTACGACGATGTCTATGGGCTCCAGTAACTTAACACCAGGTGGGCTGTGAGCTCGTCCACCCATCTAAGCAATAAATAAAAACACTCAGAAATATAATGACATAAAAAAACCCGAAATTAAACCGTATGAGTAATTTTAATGATGTTGTATTATTCAGTTTTTTGCTCTTGGTAAAATTATGGCGTGGGTATTATCGTTCTTAACTATCAATTTGTTTTTTATTGTTCCAATTTAGTTTTTAATAGGCTCCACAATTTGGATGGCCGTTTGATTTGATCACATGATTTTTTCGCTAAATCTCTGAACGAGTCTCGGTCCGTCTGGTGTTAGGTGAGTACGCCGCTGCCCGACTTGAGACGTGGAATCGCAATCTAAATCGTAATGACCTCGAGCTTATAAGCACCAAAAGCTTAGTCGGATGACGGATCGTATATTTTCGCCATTGTGCGAATTATGTACACCTGTTATCTCCTATTGTGAAAAGTCAAACATGGATATTCCGTTTATTGAATGCGAGTTTGTTTTAAATTTTCGCGTCTATCTATATGACAAATATTAAAAATTACAGGGTTCTGGCCACGAATTCCATATTTAATTTCCCGAGATGTCAACGCCATTATGACGGATACATTAAAGATTGTCGGTAGGCTGTCAACGGCAGACAAATCTATCAACCGCCTTTCGAGTCAGTTTTACTTTAAAAGTCTATGGTTTTCGGATGTCACCACTGGTCCTCTAATACACCATACGGTATAAGAAAATAAAATGCACATAAATATTAAACGAACTGAAAAAATTGTAATAAAATTTGAAAACAATATTATGTGTATTTGTAAAAATTGTGCAAGAATTATTTTAGTTGTAACATTAACGGTACATTAAGCCTCTTCTGTATGATGACCTGATAATTCTTTACGGCATGTCAATCCTTTTATTTTACGCTAAACAGGAAAACAATATAGCATTTGAGGCTCGGAAATGGGTTGAATTTACATGAAAACTATATTTTTCTTTTTGTGAAACTTGACCTAACTTGGTATCATCGACTTGTGTCTCACGCTACCCAGCTTGAGGCATGAGGTCGAAGTCTCTTGTAATATAAAATATCCCGTAATCTGAACACGTAACTGCTTCACTTGACAATAATATGCCATAACACTCATAATGTTTCCAATGAATTATTATTTTCTTTTATCTACGTACTATCCATACAAAGATAGACGGAACGAACCACAAAAACCAGTCGGCTCACGTTTTTGGACCGCGTAACGCATCTGCCGGTGTCGACTGAAGAGAAAGGGTTCGTACAAAACAAAACATACATTCTGGGCTTCTTGTTATTGAATCCGCTTAGCTATTGTGAGATTTGCTGTCGGGGGATCGATGATTAGTTTACGGGTATGCAAGTGAATGTTTATTCTTCGTCTGTTGATAAATATACTTACTGTAAAATATAAAAACAGTAAGGTTGGCGTAAAAGGCCATATAAATCGTGAACAAATACACGTTTTTTTTTTCTATTGCTTAGATATGTGGATATGAGTTCTAAGTTTTAATTCTTACAGTACAAGAGTCACACTGTTGGAGTTTGAATATGAAAGTAATGGCAGGCAACATTTGACACATGTAAGGTTACAGTTTCGAATATTGGAATGCTTATTTAAATGCTTAAAACAAATGATTGTCTTCTCGTAAGTGAAGACAATGACTTCTCATCTAGACACGGACAGAGCAACTTCTAAGGTTTTATAAAAATAAAATATTGTAATGGTGTAATAGTGTACAAAGTGTTTGCAATATAATTATACTAACCATGAAGCAGAGTGTTTTTAAATAGCCCCTCACCTATAGAACCCAGTCCCCTCAAATGTAATCATCCAACACACACTTTTCAAATTGAACCACTTAACTACTTCACGGCAGAAATAGGCAGGATTTGCCTATTGGTACGGGCTCCCAAGATCGCTTTACCACTAGTAAGGTTAATGCAGTTGCTGTCCACTCATTCTTTCTCTCCTATCTTTCTATTACCCAAGAGTATCAGTGATAGTGTATTATGAACCCTAAAGGGTTTATCTGGCGCAAGATAGTCATGCGGTTCAAATTGAAAGAAAGAACAGTTCTAAATATACTCTTCTTCATTACAATATAATAAAACTTTCCCTCTTCGTCTTATGATCTCAAGGTCGACAATTTGCTTGTTATTTGTCATGCACCTCCGTTAGTTTATTTATGTATTAGTGTCACATTAAAACAAACGACAAACAATTTATAAATAAGCTATTCACAAAATAAGTCACGCGCGTGTATCCATATCTACTTAGGTATAAGATGCATGTCATGTATGAATTTGAGATGCAGAGGTAGAAAACATACTTACGTATACAGTACTGAGCCATGGTCAAAGAAAATAAAATAAAATTTAGACGGATTTTATCTTTAAACAATTAAATAACAATATTTGATTACAAAGAAAACCTTACAAAATAAATGAAGAAATTAAAAATTAGTCGAGTTTCAAGAGTACTGGATACAAAAGCCTGACGCTGCACTAACTTTGTTAATCGTATAAAACAAGGACAAACTATAAAATATGATAATATACCTACGTCCTTCATTATTCTGATTAATAAATTAGCTGCAAGTAAAGGATAATTGACAGTCCCTTTATTGTGCTTTGTAAATTTATTGAAAACCAACCATCGATAGTGTCGTAAACAATTTAGATACGAAAGAATACTTATTACCCACACTATCGTACCATATTTGGACGGTCAGTGGAAGTAACGACGCCTGAATGACAATCACATTCAATCAACAACAACAAAATGTCATAGACCTTAATGTGTTTTTTGACTGTCAATATCTATATATTCCCATAGACACAGCCCACTGAGTTTCTCGCCGGATCTTCTCAGTGGGTCGCGTTTCCGATCCGGTGGTAGATTCTGCGAAGCACTGCTCTTGCTAGGGTCAGTGTTAGCATCAGTTCGGTTTGAGCCCCGTGAGCTCACCTACTATTTAAGGTTACGCTGAAATAGCCTCTCAAGGCTATCAGCTTTGGTAGGGAAATAATAATAATAATAAATAATAATCTACATATATAAGTAGGTATATAAATCAATTGCTGTTCGTTAGTCTCGCTA